GGAATTCCTAACTGTAAGTCCCACAAGGTACTACTATTTCTGCTTCATAAATTTTTTTCCAAGCCAGCATGATAGGCTGAGGCCAGAAAAATGACTGTGTTCTCATCCTGTGCGTTCAGGATGTCCATGAGTTCAGCTGCCTTTGGGGAATCTCAAAGGCCTTGGACTAGAATCGGACCTCCACAATCTTGTCTTTGCTGTACGCTACTCCAGTAAACATCCATTGTTTTAATTTTGCATATTTCCTCCAGCATTGGGGAAATGAGCCAAAGACCACAGTAAAATAATAATTCAGGCAGAATTCCCCGGAGACTGGAAGAAAGACGTCATTTGCTGCCTCAGTGTGGCTGCCAGTCATCCCTTTTGATGGAAATCATCTGCTCTCTTCAGTGAAACAAGAAAGGTTCAGTTCTCCTTTCCAGTCTGTGACAAACGAGGTGCTATCTTGTGTTGCAGAGAGCCAGGAGCCTGGTGTTACCTGGCTGCAAGCTGCTGCCTGCTGTAGTCAACATGCTGGAATTTCCATTGGCTGTGTTCACTAAAAAACTCTGTAGAAAGACAGCACCAGTTGTGGGTGGGTTTCTCTTCTCCAACCCATTAGTTACAGTGGCAGACAGCAGTGTCACTAGGATGTAATCAGACAGCCACCTGAAATTCTTACATTCAGTTGTAAAGCGAGGTAGTCTTTTAAGCTGCTTAGGAACCCTTAGCATGCTCTTATTTCCATGCCCTCTCCTTCTGTCTAATAACATTTAATTGCTTACAGCTTCTGTTAATAAAATTTCATCTGAGCATTCACTGAATTAAATAAGTGCATAACCAAGAGAAGCCTTCTGCTTTACAAGAGGCTAGATATTTGATCTGACATACTTTGTTCTCCATACTACAACCTCTAATAGGAAATTTCATTGCAAAAGCTGTAAAATGATATAATCTTTGATCTAGAAGTGACCTGTACAACAGTGCTTCTCAAATTTTAACGAGCATACAAAGCACCTGGGGATCTTGTTAAAATTCACATTCTGATTCAGTAGGTGGGGCCTGAAATTCTGCATTTCTGTCAGGTACCTGAATGACCCAAGCTGCTTGCTCTCTGAATTACAATTTGTGTGTCTAAGCCAGAAGACCTGAAGGCATTTGGCCTAGTGAGCATCTGGCGGGGCCCTCTCCAGCCACCCTGTGTGGGAGAGGTATGACAGATTTATTTTGTTTTGTTTTTTTGTTTTTTGTGTTTTGAGACAGGGTCTCACTGTATAGTTGAGACTGACCTGGAATGTACTAGGTAACCCAGGCTGGTCTCGAACTGACAGTGATCCTTCTGCCTCAGCCTCCCAAGTGCTGGGATTACAGGTATGCACCACCATGCCCGGCTATGACAGCTTTATTAAAACATAAAGCCCCTGTCCTTGAAGAGATAAAACGATGTCTATTTCCCCCACTAGGTGTTTAGCAATCACTTGTGATATTTATGTCAAAATAACTTTCAAACCTATTACCTTGGTTCAAGATAATTAGTTACTTAGGTCATGTTTTAGCAGAACTGTTGGTTAATTTTATCAGTTTCCAGTCACTCAAATAAAATGTTATAATCATATTTTAAGCATTATGTGATGATGCATGCTTGTAGATTTTTAAAATAAAATTTTTCTATCAATACAGACATTTACATTCAAACTAAAATATAACTAAACCTAAAGTACATATCTGCTTAAAAATATGGAAGGATGTCCTTAAATATGCACATTTTTACTTTACATAATTTAGTCTTTAGGAAGAGCAGTCAATGAGTATATGTGAGCTTCGTTGAGATCTATAGTTTGCATTATCTTCACAGTATCAATTTATGATTATTTTTGTTTAATGAGCAACATGCTGATGTGGATAATGCAAAATTATAGCTACTACAAAAACACAATTATTATTAGCATTCAGAATTAATTCATTAGAACAGGTCTAACTTCCTAATGATGTTTTCATAGAATAATATTAAAATACTAAAATTGTATTCATCATTTGATGACAGGAAGTTAACTCCCAAGGACAGAAGAACGTCAATCTGCAATTTAGAAAAAAATGATGGAGTTTATGTGGCTAGGTTGGTTTACTTCACCACCTATTTTCATAGCCATCGTTTATCGGCTGAACCTAATAAAAGCTAGGAAGCTGGTGGAGATAGAGCCACTTAAAAATTCCTCCGCATCTGGAATCAGTGTGGTTCAGGCACACTCACGAGAAGATCCTGGTTTGTATCTTTGAAATGATGGAAAGGGATAAAAGAAAAGGGAAAAGACAATTTTGTGGTTTGTCCTCATAATCTCTACAACCACCCTATGAAGCCAGTACTGTTACTACACCATTGGTAGAAGAAGCTGCAGTCTACATCACTCGCCCACTTGAAAAAAAAAAAAAAAAAAAAGGTGCACACTTCTCTGTGGTAGAGCTGGTTTTGACCTTAGGCCTTTGACTCCATAACCTTTGAGTGTGTAATGAGCACTCTGCATTGCAGTTACAGGTACAGACGCCATAGGTGCGGGCAGCTTGGTAACAGCGATTCAAGGAATAATGCCTATCCCACAGAGCCATCTGGTTTCTCTCAGCCCCATTGCTAGTCCTCTTCTATTTCTGGTTGGTACAGAATGATCTCGAACGTGGTCCTCCCTCCCTGCTTGCTCTCTTCCCACTCAGGATAGCAGGAAGTCTGAACATTTTATCTACTCAGCATCTCTAGCAGTTCAGGCTGTGAACACACTTTACTGTCAGTTTAATAGTTGATGATTGATAATTGTGGCAAGCGCTGTGAGGGGACATAATTCAGAAATGCATCCAGGCCTCAAGGAACTCAAGATAATAATGGTGGTGTGGTATCAGAGTTCTTTTAGGAAGATGGAGTAGGTGGTGTTATTTTCAGTTTCCAATGTGGAACTTTTCACTGCACATTTAATTTAGAGCGATGTTTATTTGGATTGTTGTTTAAAATTAGAAACTGACCATCTGTATTTTTCTTGACAAGTACGGAGTCATCCTGACCAAAAGGTTTTTGAAGGTCAGGCATAGCTTATATTTGCAATATTATTTTTGGAAAAGAAAAAAAGCATGTTGAAAATATTCCAGGCATAGGGGTGCTTGCCTATAATCGTAGCTACTGGGAAGGAGAGTAACAAGTTCGAGGCTGGGCAGGGCAGTTTAGCCAGATCCTGTCAGAACAACAAAGGGTGTGGGCTGGGTTCACCGCATAACGCTCCCTGGATTTAATCCCTAGTACAGAGAAAGAAAAAAGGAAGGGAGAGAGGGACTTTGAAAATAACATCTAGTAGTTGAGAATTTAAGAAAAATTTGGTATGCATGCAGAGACATACACCCACTGAAATAAAAATTATAAAGGCTTTGCAGCAACATAAATATGACAAAGATGCATATGGTAGATTTCAAGCAAAATGAGACCAGGATAAGTGACCTTGATACTTGCAGAGTATCTCCTTTGTAGCATTCTGCTACATGAATTTGCTTGTATGTTTCATATCTTTCTAACAGCATGCAAAGAAGTTGTTATTTCAATGTTTTGCAAGTAAAAGAATTGGGGCATAAATATCTTCAAGGATTCTTCACTGAGGTCATGTTGATTTTGAGCAAGACCTCAAACCTAGAGCTCTTAAAATCCAAATCTGGTCATGGTTCCCCCAACCTTTTAACTTTATTCTGAACTATTCCACCCTGTCTCCAGCCTTGTTTCAGTTCAGAAATAGTCTTTTTTATAAAGTAGAGTCAAATGAATTTAGCTGAAAAATTCACACAGTAAGCAAAAAAATTAAAAATAATTGATAATTATTTTAGGCTTTTACACAAAGTTGAAGGATAATTAATAGTTGACACTGTAAAATGAAAGTCTGATCATAGCATAGTCATTTTTTCTTTTATCTGCAATCTTAAATATGCTATATTTATGAAACTGCCAAAATGTTAGCTCCTCACTGTTAGCCAGAATGGTCTAGGGACAAGATGAAAACAAAGCAGTCTGTATTTGTAGATAGCAAGCAAAATGTTTCTTTCCTTGGAAAGTACTTTCTTTGTTAACTAATGTCTGAGGATCTGAGAATGGAAACCCTTAACTATGAAACTAGTGCAACCTAACTCATCTTTTTAAACACTTTTTAAAAAAGGCTTACAACTTTCTTCACAGCATAGTTTTGTATTTGTGTTTTTTGTATTATCATACATGGCTGGAACTCTGTGAGAATTACTTAGCTGCTTTTTTAAGTATTGTACAACCTTTCTTGTAAAGTTTACATTTTTTTCTATCATTTTTTAATCTATTTTGATATTGTTGACTTTACTATCTTACAGTAAACAGGCTATGAACACACCCCACCATCAGTTCAATAGCTCTTTATTAAATGTGGCAAGCACTAGGAGGGGATATAGTTGAGAAATGTGTCCAGGCACATTAACTAGAAAAAAAATTAAAACAGCTCTATTAAGAAATGGACTTTGTCTTAGTAAAATACTTAGGTTTGGAGAGAACTTTAGGGGTTGTATTTGAATTTTTTCAGGGTTGTTACTCTGAAATCATCTGTATTATTTTGTAGTTTAATTTTTTTCCACACAAAAGCTATGATATTACTAAGAAATGATAAAATGGATAGATATGAATTTTTGATTCAATTTTTATTTTCGTCTTTGATTTTTTAAAGTTCAGTTTTTTTCTATCTGAAATAGTTCCACCTGAAACTTTCTTTTTTTCAAAATTTCAGTCAAGAGTTACTAGTCCTTTATGTCACCTATACTTTTTTATTAAAGAAAAATTCCATTTTCTAGCTGCCTGTCCTATTTAAAGCAAAGAGTACATATCAGGTATTCGAAAATTACTTTTTCTAGTTATTTTTATTTGTATAAATTGCTTCCTCTGAATGCTTCTAGACATAAAGGAACGCTTTGGAAAAATGGAAGATTTGTGTTTCCCTTGAAAGACTAGTAATTGTTTGACTCCCTTTCCCTGGTTGCAGTATCCAGCGGCTCTGATGAACCTAGGAGCCATCCTGCACCTCAATGGCCGACTCCAGAAAGCTGAAGCCAACTACCTGCGAGCCCTGCAGCTCAAGCCAGATGACGTCATCACGCAGTCCAATCTTCGCAAGCTGTGGAACATCATGGAAAAGCAAGGCTTAAAGACTTCCAACACCTGACACAGGAGGATAGAAATCTCATCCTCCTCCATTTAATAAAGCTGGCTTCATTAACAGTCAAAACTTTCCAGCAGTGCTATGATCAGAGCTCATTTTTTACTTCAAGACTCAGGCGGAGGTCATTGAAGTCACTGAATCCACTTCGCTGGTTGGCACAGCCATTAACACCAAAAAGGGGTACATTGGAAACCTCCAGGACGATGTAACCGTCACCCACGGACTGCAAACCAGAGCACTTAAACGGGGTCTTTTGGCATTCTTAAAAGGGAGAGGGGTGTGTCTAAATTACAAATTTTGTTCCTTTATTTGAAAGCTAACTTTGAAACTGTAATGTTCCTTAAACACTGTGAGGGGAAGTCAGAGTGTCCATTCAACCACAGTAAACTATTGAGGTTAAGTGTTAATAGGGAGAAATGAAAACAGCCTGAAACGCAGTGAGCCCATGGTTGTCCTAACGCTGCTGTCTTCCCTCTTTGGGACAGCCTGCTTCTCAATTTCTCAAGCTTAGAAAACTTCTGTTTGTCTGTTTGCTTGTTTTATTCATATTGTGTGAGGATCTGTCAGTGTCTATACTGGTTTCTTAATTGGTACACATAATGTTTTATGATTTGAACGTCACCGGTTTCACAATTTTGAACTTCACTTGCTTTTCCTGCTCTGAAAAGGTTGTGGAGAGAAGAGCTAACACACTTTGCACTGGTGTTGGAAAGTGGGCTGGAGAGGCTTTATGTGTATTTGGCAGGCAGTTTTTTTAATGTTGCCAATATTTTCCCCCAAACCACCTAGTAGAATTCATTGTATTAATTCTTTTGAAATTTCCTTTTAATATGGTTATTCTTGGTGAATCTGCGCACTTAGTGTTCCAGTTTTGCTAACCAGTTGAAGGTACATTTTGATTCTCAGATTTTGCTGGTTTAGAAAATCAAGGCTATGCAAAGAAATATGTGATCATGATTGCCACTGATTTTGTGTTTTGCAAAGAGTTGGTATAAAATCCTTACCAAATTCTAATAGGTATCTCAACAACAGTGCAGATAAATCTACAAGAAATGTTTTTATCTCATTTTGCTCTTACTGAGAGATGTCAAAAATGACTCCTTTTAACTGCAGTAAAGTCTGTGCTTTTCTTAGTTGAAAAACTATTTTTCACTAGTAAATCATATATTTTCTTTCATTACTTGTTATCAACCAGTTCAATGATCTTTCATGAGAAAAAAGACCATATAAATGAAGTAGAGAAAAACATTTATTGGACATTTTGGGCTTGCAGACAAATTTTACTACTAAAAATTAATCTCATAAAACACCGACCCATTTTCAACCTCTTCATAGAGAAATGAGCTATACTATACCCTACCTATTTATTTATTTATTATTCTACCATAGCAGAATAACAATGAATTTGATTCATTAAGCCCGTTCTTTGCAATTGAAAATTAGCTTTTTCTCCTTCCCTTTCACACTCCATGTATATATGATCACTAATTCCATTAAAGGGAAGCTGAACACGCAAATGCATTCTATTACTTTTTTTTCCTGTTTTATACGTTTATCTGACTACAGTGAGATAAAGAATTGCAAGTAGTGTTCTTATGGCATTAGTGTCTTTGGGAGAAGGGCAAATGTAGTGAGAGAGATTTTTTTGATGGCAGAAGGCCCTCCTATAATATGCGTATTATTTTGTAAGCATTTCATTGAAGGGCCAGAAATTAAATTATAACTAAATCACTGTGTGTTCAGAATGATATTTAACATTTAACAAGAGCCTACCCATGGTCAAACCAAAATAGTGGGTTGAAGTGTATTTTTCATCTTCTAGTGCATTGGCAATTAGAAAAAGGGGGGGGATTTAATATAAGGCTATACAAATAAATTCAGTGTCTAACATTTTATTTATTGAACAGTTACGACTTATGATGGCTTCCTAGTCTTAACATTTTATGTCTCTTATGGTATTGTTCTTATTTCCAGCACTTGTTTCTTAATAGTTTCACTGAATACACAGTAGAGGCACTTCATGTGACTCAGTTCCCAAATAGCATTAATAATTGGGCCTGTGTCATTAAAAAATGCATGAATTTTTAAAAACTAAATGTCCCTGACACTTTTCACTACAGGGCTGGACTTAGTAACTGACCAACTCGGGGGTGGGAGGAGGGGTGGGGGGGCATTAGAACATGATCAAAAAAATGTCTCCGCTCAGGGATTTATGGTGGATTATTGCAGACAGTGCTAAAAATATAGAGCACAAGACAAGTTTACTAAATTAAAATTTTATTTTTTGAGAAACTGTTATTTGTATAAATTATCAAGATTTGTAGGCTTTCCTTTTGTAGAAATAATTGTTTTATGTGCCAGAGAATTTCAATTTTGTTTTCAACAATAAAGCATTGATAACAAATACGTTGTATAAGCTTCTTTTTAAATCTCCTACCACAACAGCAGTTAAACACTGAGACTAACAGAACCTTGAAAACAAGGTTGAGCATCAGATAGAGATACACTATTTTAATGAATAATAATAATTTCTGGTAGTTAAAGTTTGCGTGTTTCACCACGTTTATCATGTTCAAGAAAGATGACAGAGTTTTGTTTTCTTGGTTGAACTATGGATAAGGTTTCTAGGAACTATTCCAAGAAGGACATAATTGAGGTTCCCTGCCTAAGTAGGTCATTTGGTAAAAATGGCTGTATTTAGAAGACCCCAGTTCTCTAATATTGGTCATAGTTAAAAGCACAAACCTATTCTTCTAAGAAATGTGGGCGTAACACATGTAGGTGTTGGTAACAAAGAAATCAGGAGTCTTAACTTGCAAACTAATAAGAATTCTAATCTTGTTTAAATTGTTCTATAACATGGTTATATGTTGCCTATTTCCTTTAGTGTAGGATAAAATTTAGCCCTGAGGATTTTATTATATACTAAATATCCTGTGGATGTGTGAGATTATATTCTAGTTTTACAGATAAGAAAATCAGGATTTAGGGGTACAACCTGCCCAGTATCACCAAGCTCACCTGAGCAAGCCTGTCCCATTTGTCCAGGGCTCATGTATCCTGCAGTGTGCGCCCTCAGACCCTGTACCACAAGCCTGGAAATCAAACTTCTCAACTTGGGATTATACTGACCATTTCATTTTCCACAGAGTCACAGTTTCTAACCTCTTACCACAGATGATCCTGTAGATTAAAAGTAGCAGTTCATGGTGAACATCATAAAAATTGAGATGGTGAGAGCCATACAAGAGTTTACAGTGATTGTGAAGCTAAACCATTTACTTTCCACTTGAGGACTATTATAAGGACCACAAGTTAAGTGATTTAGCCAAGATTTCAAAAGTAGCTAGTTAACAGTAGCCAAAAGACTATAAAAATGTCAGTTATTAAGAAATGGGGCTATATAAAGTAATTACAAAGTTGATGCTATTTTTAAGTCAAAGTATTATTTACACCTGCACTGAAATACTATACTCTGAAACTAATGAAGACAAGTACCATTTATGTTTTGTTTTGGCATTATTTCTACAGTCTGGTACATCATTCCTGAGTTTTAAAAAAAGGCATAAAACAGACTAAAAGTAAAATTCTATCATTTTCTCATCTACTTGGTATTTTTACAATACCACTTTGTAAAAAAGTTAAGATGTAGAGATTTTTTTGACTCTCCACTTGATATTTTCACCAGTGTGACAAGAGTTTCACATAGTGTTTCTAGTAAAAAGAAGGGAAAGTCATCTAAGTCTTGATTTTTCATTCTAATGCAAGGAAAGAAACTTGGTTTCTATGGAAAATTTAACTATTATAATTCCAGTTCATTTGTACCTTTGGAATATGACATTTCATTTGATTTAAATATTATATTCAGTACTATAAAATTTGCTTCCTACCGTTGAAAACTTGATTCACTGAAGTGGTGTATCTAGAAAAATTGACTTATCCATTAGAATATGTATACTTCAGAGAGCAAAACTGCATGTCAACACAGTTTTGCTAATTTATGCTTAGTCTGCAGTAGAAAGGATACTTGTGGAATAAGACTTTGTCTTTCTGTATCATTTTGGGTGGTCTTCCTGCAGGAAACAATGAGAGAGGCCTTTGAGTCAGCTTTCATTCCCTCTGCCCCCTCAGCACATGTTGACCTTTTGTTGTCCTATAAATGTTTGAGACGTCTTTTCCCTCCTGGAGACTGCTGGGATTTAAATTTTTTGTTAACTTAAAATTCCTGTGAAGTTTTTCGTCTAGCTTTCCTCCAACTTCTTACTGCTAATGTCTGGTGTTGCTGTGCTATTCAATTTTCTGTTTCTGAAAAGTGAAGGGCTCTTGTTTAGCAAGAAGGTTTTGATCAAATGAGAAATTTGCAAATACATGAGACCCTGGGGTGAGATAATTCAGAATGCTAGAGGAACCTAAGAGATCAGTTAATGTAATATCTAAATGTTTGAGAATGTGTTCTGAAGAAGAGAAAGTCAAGGTGGGGAAAAGTGTAGACCCATGAAGGAGACTGTTTATTGTCCTCAGCTATAATTAAGGTTCTGTTTTAGACATAGAGGAAGTGATTAGAAAGTTTGGGACTAACTGTGTTCTTTTGGTTACTGAATAGTCTACCAAGTTTGTATTGTGGGGAGGAAGTGTAGCAAGTGAGTAAATTATACAGCCACAGATAAGGCCATAAAATGTTCGACCAGTTTGAAGTCTAGACTGGAACTGGCTAGCTTCTTTAATCAGAAATATATTTAATTTTTCTTCTACCTTTTTTGGATTCGACAGATATATCACTTATTGGAAGTTAAAACTATGAACCATTCTTCAGTCACTTAGAATAAAATTCAATAGTTCAAGAATTCTAGAAATACTTTTTCTCAGAAGTTCCCATTGTGTCTGTTTCTTTTCCATTCTAGAAAATTCAAAATGAAATAACTCCTCTGAGACCTTTCCCTTGGTAATATCATCGAGCAGCTAGAATTGTATGAAAGTTTTCAAAAATGTACTGAGAAAGAAATCAAGCAATTTATTCCCAAAAAGACTTAAAATACCATATTGGGATTAAAGTATCTTTTTTTTTTTTTCCAGCTGAACACTCTCATAGAATGTAAAAGGTAATACACTACCAGAAAATCAGAACTGGTGAAAGAAGAGAGGAATGAATAGGAGGAGGGTGAGGAAACAGTGATTACTTTTGATCTTAAAGTACATGCTTTTTTATAATCTCATTTCACAAATAATGGTACATTAGCTTGGAGCACAATTAGCTTTTCAGTTCTGCAGATATCAACTTACTACATACATAGACCCAGTTAAAGATCTTAGGAAAGTTCATGTAATTCTTTTTTGTGCTGTTTTAAGTATGTTGCTATGCTTAATATCTGTGAACATTTTACATTTCTTTTGCAATATAAACATTTTTGGTGTACATCAAAATAATTAAAATTTGGATAATTTCACTGAAAGTACAGTGTTTGAAAACTACGGTGTTTACAAAGCTCTTCTATGACACCAAATAATTTGGTATTATGATGTTCTGTTGGAATTTAATGATGCTGCACTCTATGCTATGGAAAAATGCATACATGTTATGTTTTATTATATTCCATTGAGTCTCCCAGTTACTCCATTGATGACATTATAAAGTACAATTATGAACCCTGGTGTTGTGGCATATACCTGTAATTTCAGCACTCTGAGAGGCTGAGGCAGGAAGATCACAAGTTCAAGACCAGCTGGGACAATTTAGATACTTAGCAAGATCCTGTCTCAAAAATAAATACATAAGTAAATATATAAATATATAATAGCTGTGGGAGTAGCTCAGTGCGAATTCCCTGGGTTCAATCCTCAATACTATAAAATAGTAGTAATAGTCATAATAATAATATGCCAGTAAAACCCATCTTTTTTAATAAAATTAATTGAGGAAATTTAAATTGGTTAAATTGTTGTCAACTTTGTTTACAGAACCAATTATTATGTTGGGATCATATTTATTCCAAATTTTACTCTGCATGATGGTGACAAGAAGTAGCCAAAAAGTGATTTTTTCAAAATCTTTCACTTTAGGGAGCAAGAGTAAACAAAGATTTGGCCTTGGCACTGTACAAATGAAGAAGATGTTGTGTACGGCAGTTAATTGACAGCCATGCATGCACATTCACAGTGGATCTGATGTAACATAAAATGTTGAGGCAGTAGCTACAAATTATGTTGCGCAGAGCCCAACACTAACCAGT